GCCCAAGACTTAAGTTGTTAAATCTGAAAGAAAAAGAAAAAAATTGTTAAACGCTTAAACTTAATTCACATTTAAAATCGATCCAAGTTATTGGAACACCCTTTATATGCAGGTCATAATATTTTTCAATCTTCAGAAACATCTTATTTATTACTAGAAATACCCGTGAAAATGTTACGGTTTTTCTATTTTCATTTTCTGATGAATCTTAATTCTTAAGTTAGTAATTGAATAAGCTCATGGCGAGTTCTTCGACAATAGAATATCCGTATTGCATCGTAAAATAGGTGAGCTTAACAATTTTAACAATTACAAATCTGAATACTGGAGGTTATTTTAAGAAATAATGAAAAGATTTGAAATTGACATTTTTTACTTTTCACGAAACAGACATTAACATCTTGCCTTTTTTCTTTATTTTTTTTCTTTCATGCTCTCACTGAAATCAAGTAGCGTCCTGATACGCCTTTTCTGTCTTTCTATACTATCAGAATGGAATAGTCCATTATTTATTAGGTATTGACAGGAGACGTTAAAAACTTCTATTTCCCTTCTCTATTTCTTTCTTTCTTTCGCGCTTTCATTTTCTCACTGAAACCAAGTAGCGTATTTTATGTCTTTCCACGCGGTCAAAATAGAATAGTCCATTATTTTTTTTTTTTTTTTTTTTTGATTTTAGCAGGATGTAACGGTCGTGCTAACTACTGGCGGGACAACCAGAATTCTAAGATAATCGCTTAAGTAACAATATATTAATTTAACCTTTACCAGAAGTAAATCATCATCAGCAGCAGCAGTCGCAGCAGTAGCATCGGCAGCATAATCATCATTCCTATGTTTGTGTTGAATTGTAGGCTCGCTGCGCAATTACCTAGCCATCTCCATTGTGTGACAATATTTGAGTTGAATGTTACAGTTATTTATCATTCATGCTTAGCGTGTCTTGGGCAAGTATGTCAGACAACATCCATCTCTAGAGCAAGTCATAACAGGTGTCCTTCAATTTGATGACACGCCTTGGTCACGGACATGCGTAATGATCGATTCCATCGGGAGAACGTTTCTTCCTGATCGTTGACTTCAGTCGAGGGAGAACCTCCGCACAAGCGGTGTCGTTTCATCCTCACCCTGGATATACTAACTGACAGTAGTTCAACTACATGTGCAGATTGACCCAGCAACCATATAAGAAAATAGCTAATAGGCATATGGCTAAATTTCGTCAACATATATGGATTATGGGCATAACCACGCGGGTTATACCATGTTGGACATGTTGTCGTCTTGAACACCATCGAAATGGAATCCGAAGATGAGACAATATGCTTCCTTTAATCGATCCTTGATTTATCAACGGAACCAAACCACTCAGACCCAATCGAGATTTCTCATTCTATCTTTCTTTTTATTTCCCATGTCCTTTCAGAACGTAGGCGATCTTGGCTCTCCACCTCCCTCTATCCCTTGCAGCTCTCAACAAGTTCCTTCCCTCTGCTTCCTACCCCAGGGCACGTTCTGTCATCCACTTACTTAATCCCGCCAGGTATGTCACGCATTGTTTTCCCTTGTCTCTTTTTCCCTCTATTCGACCCGTAAGTATCAAATTCTCCAGGCCCTCCTTCCTCATTATGCGTCCCAGAAAATCAGTTACCTCTTTCTGATGTTAAGTATGTCTCCTCCTTGTTTTCATCCTCTCTAAGACCTCATCGTTGCTCGCACACTCGTTCTATGATATCCTTAGCATCTATCTGTAGCCACGAGTCTCTTCTTCATCTCTAAGGAAATCGTCCAACATCCGCTGCCGTAAAGAAGGACAGATATCATGTAACAGCTTAGTATTCTTTTCTTTGCTACCAAAGAAATCCTCCTGTCTCACAATAGTCTTCCCAACTTTTGGAATGCGTCCTTGGCCATCCAATCTCAGTGTCGTCTCTGTCAAAAACGCTTCCCAGTTAGTTAAACTTCCGCGTCTACTTGACTCTAGTGTTCCCGACCTACAAATTGTATTCCGGGCTCATGCTTTCAATTTTCCTTATGAGCCAGTAAAAACAAAATCTTTGTCTATGGCATCACTGGAAGTGTCTTCACAGTCATTATCTTCCTATCAGGTCGTTGTTAATCGCCGCTCCTCTGAAGCCCATGAAATCAATATAAACATTTTCCAATGCTCCCTCCTTGATCCTACACACTTTCTGCTTTATATTAACGATCTGCCAAACAGAATTTTCAGATCATTTGTAAGTATAAATGCAGACGGTACCACGGTTTATGGGTGTATCACCAAAAGCTTAGATGTCCAAAAGCTGACAGCTGATCTCACTGCTGACCTATGTCCCATTGCTCAATTGGAGAAAGTCTGACTTTTATTATTCAATACCTCCAAGCTAGTGTGACGACGTGATCCGCTATGTCCTACTGCTCAATTGGAGAAAGCCTGACTTTTATGATTCAATACCTCCAAGCAAGTGTGACGACGTGATCCGTTAAGTCAATTGCTCAATTGGAGAAAGCCTGACTTTTATTATACAATACCTCCAAGCTAGTGTGACGACGTGATCCGCTATGTCCCACTGCTCAATTGGAGAAAGCCTGACTTTTATTATTCAATACCTCCAAGCTAGTGTAACGACGTGATCCGCTCGTCCATCACCGCGTCACCTGGTGACATCCAAGGTCGGCTGTATACGCGTATACACCCGGCCAGCTATGTTCACAATTTGTCCACTTTGCAGTAATCGAATTCACAAAGAATAACGACAAATTCTTTTCAAGACTCTTTGGTTGGGAAATAGCAACTGTACGAATTCTCACTTAGCCGTCTATGTTTTCTTTCGGCTGAGCTGCTCTATCCCTAACTGCTCGCTGGTCCCTTCCACCTCTCTGAGTGACGGCCCCTTCCTCACCAGCCGTTGATTATTTACTCGCTTACTACTGGACACCTACTTACTTCTCTGACCTCTGGACCCCTTTCTGCTTATATGTATACAGGCTGGGGTCCGACGACCTCTACCCGTCCCTTTGTGTTCTTCAAAAGTTTCTATTTTTATGATTATCTAAAATCATTAACAACATTTTATGTTTGCCAATTCAAAGGCGGCTGGAGACAGAAATCTTGAAAAACTCTGACACTTAAGTAAAAGGAAAAGAAATGTATCTACTTATCTCTTAATATGGGAGAAATCGTATTGCTACACTAGTAACGCTTCATCACCCTAAATTTACTCCAATACTGATGAGTGGTAATACAGTGTAACCCGGATATAAGAGACCCGGATATAAGAGAAACCCGGATATAAGAGAAACCCGGATATAAGAGAGATTTTCTCTGGTCCCAAATTAGAGCCTGTTAATGTATACATATAGACCAAACCCGGATATAAGAGAAACCCGGATATAAGAGAAACCCGGATATAAGAGACTTCTTCTCCGGTCCCGACAACTCTCTTATATCCGGGTCACGCTGTACTTGCAATGAGATTTCTTGTCTTGGACGTCTGTTGGCACTCAAGATCAGTCCATATCTCAAACGGAACTATTATAATTGATCCATTGCTAAAGATTCTAGAAAAATGGTTACTTCCTTATGACGCTTCAGAAAGTACCTGACTTCTTCTCACATGCTCCGTCAGACACAAAATAGAGTATTCACCACTGTCTAACCTTGACAATGACAAATGCTATTACAAAAACTTGTGGGGGACGGAATATTTCCAAACTTACAACCACAGCTGAAACCTTGCGAGTATCTCACTAACACTATAGCTATTTTCATTTCTATATTCCTTAGTTCCACAACTCTATACCTTCACAGCGAAGGCCCACCATGCCATGTACACAAGTAGGATTTATCTCCATTCTCTTCGTATTCGATTGGTATGGAGAGAAGTGCCAGTTAGACAGCTTCTTCCCCAAAACTGTTGCTTTGTGGAACGGACTCCCGAGGGGTTGCTTCCCCGTTCACTACTGTTTTAACAACTTCATTTCTATGATCAAGCGTTATCTATCCTGCTTCGTAATAGGCACCTCTTACTTCCTCGCTTTACGTCTTTACAACAACCTTCTATTCAATGCATGCATTGGGTGAAAAATATTATAAAAAAGACATACCAGATTTTTACGTAGTATTTCATGATAATCCATGTTTTTTTTATTCTTCACACTGCCAATCAACCACATTGTTTTAAGTACACTTCACAATAAATATAAAACACAGGAAAAAAAAAACTAGGTTTGATGATAAATGATCGGATTAGCACTGGCAGGAAATGAACCCCTAGCAGGTTTGTGATAACCACATTTATCTCATCTACTGCATTGATAATTACGAACAATAAGAAGGCGAAAGGCGTTTTATATGAATCTTTTTCGATCAGATATCAAAGCCGATATAACATTCTTCATTTATTTATCCAACTCCTAAATATGTCCTGCATACAAAAATCCGCATTAATGGATGCTGTAATAGGAACAATATTAAGTGTGCATATATTTTTGCATATGTAAAATGTATTTGATGCAAGCAGGGTTTGATTTTTGCTTAGTTACGCCTCCAAGAATATGTGTGCAGCTGCTGGAAAATTAATCTTCAGCGCTGAATCTGACAGCATGTTTTAATGTTTCTTACACAAATATTAAGCGAGGTAAAAGGAAGTCGATGATACCGGCAAAACGAACGAAAGTTGGAATCCATGACAAATTCTCATGATTACTTGGCAAGGGTCTTGCTCTTTCCGTAGCCTTTCTCTTTTTCTTCTGTTTATCTGTATTATTCAGCTGCGTTCAGAGCCTTAATATTTGGCTACTAAAAGAAGAATCATTCCAGTTTACTTTGATTTTTATCATTCATGCAATTTGTAAAGGATTTTCTATCTTCTTTTTCATTCTAACTTTGCCTTGCTTCTTACTTCCCATTGTCGTTCATTGTTTTGCTTTTCTTAACACTGCTTCTTTTTAATGCTTCTTTTTTTCCTATTGTCTTTCATTATTTTGCTTTTCTTTCCATGCGTTATTCTTCTCATTGTGGTTTATTCCTTTTTATTTCCATATTATTTCATTACTTCTTTTTTTTTCCATTCTACTTCATTCTTTTTCTTTCTTTACTTCCTATTTTTCCTTTTCGTTGTTTTATTCTTCCTACTGTATTTCATTCTTTTATTTTTCTTTACATTTTTCTTCTTCCTTATTTCTTTCTTTCTATTGACTTTCATTCTTTTGTACATTTTTCTTCTTCATTGTTTCTTTCTTTCTATTGTCTTTCATTCTTTTGTTTTCTTTGCATTTTCTTCTTCATCGTTTCTTTCTTTCTATTGTCTTTTATTCTTTTGTTTTTTCTTTACACATTTTCTTTTCAATCCCACCATTCTTTTATTGTCTACCATTTTTTGTTTTTCTTTCTTTTAATTGCTTTTTTATATTGTTTTTCATTCTTTTACTTTTCTTTATTTTCTGACAAAAGAAGCGATTTTTGTCATATTATCTGTTATTCTTTTCCTTTCCATTTTCTTCATTTTTTGTTTTTCTTTCTTCTTTCGTCCCTTTCTTTTATTTTCTTTCCACTCTTTCTTTTCATTGCTCACATTTTTTATTGTCTTCCGTGTTTTTGTTCTTCATTCCTTTCTTTCTCCTAATTCCTTCTTTCGTCTTATTACCTTTCATTCTTTTCCATTATTAACGTGCTTTGCTTATTTCTTCCTATTGTCATTTCTTTGTTTTTCTTTCAATTCTTTCTTTTCATTACGTCTTTCTTCCTATTGATAATCTTCTCCTTTCACCCTTTCCTTCTTTCTTCTAATTACTTCACTTCCCTCTTAAATATATTCTTACTTTTTCTTTGTACTTCGTTCCTTTTTTTTTTCTTTATTTCAGTCATTGTTTAATTATATTTTTTGCGGTGTTTAGTTTTCTTTACGTTTCTTCTTTTTGAAATTTCTTTTTTTTTATTCGACTTACGTTTCTTTCTCTCGTTTCCTTCTTTGTTTATTTTATTCTTTGTTCTGTCTTATTGTTTTCCTTCTGCCAATTGTTCTTTTCTTTTTTCGTCCTTCATTCTTGTCTTCTCTCCTTTCTTTTATTTTTTTTCTTCATATATTTATTAGATTTATTTATTTCTTTTGTGTCTTCCTTGTCTTCCTTCTTGTTGCTGTAGAAATGAAAAATCGATGTTTTCCTTTTTTTTGCCAGGACAGAGGCAGATCTGAAATCTTTATGATTACTTAACAAGTTGCAGGGAAATTGTAATTGCTTAAAAAAAAACGTAAGTTAAAAAAAAACGTATAGAAAATGTCATGTACATGTGAAAATACAAAAATTGAGTATTTTTTTGTTTTTCTGTCTTTTTTTCAATTAATATTCACTAGTCATAGTGTATAAGTGAGAACTCAATACTCTCAGAATATACTGATTCTACTTGGATTACTTTACAATACAAGAGATAAAAGATTTAAAAGAGATAGAAGTAAACAGTTAAAAGAATAAAGAAAGAAGATTGTCGAAAACACACGTTAAGAGGGTCGAAGTTTTTGTGTATTCTTGATATATATATATATATATATATATATATATATATATATATAAATGAACATAGAAGTCAACACTTAGAGGCGACAGTCTGTTTCATGCTAGATGCAATCGTCAGGCCACGAGTGCTGTTATTTTTCTCGGCTATTTATATATATACGGGTCCTGTGGTGCATTGTGGGTAGTCTATTTTGGCGGTTATTTTACCGGAAGTTGTTTATTTGTTTATTCATTTATTTATTTATTTGGGTTAAATTACTTTGCTTGTCATTATTTTTATTTTTTTATTTCTTATCTCATTTTTTTTTTTTATTTTAATCGGTGGTTTTTATTAATGTAGTAAAATTTGTTTATATCGCTTATTTAATAGTTTTGTTTTTGTTTGGGAAGATAATTAAAGCTATTTATTCAATTTTGGAGTTGATTGTAGTAGTTTATTCTAACTATTATTTTGGTGGGAACAGTTTTGAATTTGTTTATTACTTCATCTATTTATTTAGATTGCTTATTTTGATTTGTTTTTTTCTAACTGCTAATTTATCGGGATCGGTTTGTTAGTTTATTTATTTATTTGGATGAATTTAGATCAATGTATTTTACTTGTTTTTTTTATTATTTATTTATTATACTCTATATTTTTATTTACCCTTTTCGGTTTTTGATTTTCAAGTAACGTAGTATTTTTTTCTTTTATCGTTATATAACAGTTATAGCTATTTTTTTCGTCCGATTTTTGGTTTGATTTTTATAGTCTAACTAATATTTTGGTCATAATGAATTGCTAATTTGTTTATTATTTACTTTATTTATTTGGGTTCATTGATTTTCTTTTTTATTCAGTTACTCCTATGTATATTTTTTCTTCATTATCTGGTGATTTTATCGTGGCTTGTAACTGAAGGACACTAGAAACAAAGAAATTATGCACACAAAACATCTTTCACAAAGTGTAAATATGCACAATGCTTTCTAAGTATATCTGGGAAATTAAAAACAAAACGCACATCACACCAAAAATATCTTGGAAAATAAGGAACAGATGATCAGCCTACAACAACCAATCAAAAACTTGCAAACTTTGCTTGGAGGAAAAAATAGCTATCATTACCTTCCCAGACCAAAATAAATTATTAAATAAAAGATCCGAACTCATCTCAAAATGCAGACATGAAAACAAATTTCTACTACGTTACTTAAAAATCAAAAACTGAAAAAAAACAAAATAAATAAACAAAATGAGAATAAAATAAGCAAAATAAATTAACACAAACAAATTACCAAATCACACCGTTAGAATAGACGAAATAGAAATAAATAAATAAGAAATAAACAAGGGACAACGAGTGGCAGCCTGCGTATCGCTGCCTTCTCGCCACCGTACCGCATCCTTACCATTGATGAAAAGTGGGTTCTGTACAAAACTCCCAAGCGTTCCAGACATTAGTTGTCTCCTCAGGATGCTGTCCTGCACACCGCAAGACCGCCTATGCACCCACGCAAGATTATGATTTGTGTCTGGTGGACAGGTCGTCAAGTGGTTCCTTATGAACTGCTACCAACGGGCCAAACGGTCACTGGAGACCTATACTCGCAGCAATTGAAACGGGTGCAACAGGCATTGCGCCAGAAGGAGCCAGCACTGAATCGCAAAGGTGTGCTTTTCCTCCATGACAACGCCAGGCCGCATGTCGCGCGAGTGGTCAGGGATACAATACAGCAACTTGGGTGGGAGACTTTGTGCCATCCACCTTATACACCTGACCTTGCGCCATCCGATTACCACCTCTTCTACTCCCTGGATAATCATCTTCGTGGGAAATCCTTCACCAATGAAGCAGACTAGCGCAAAGCCCTCACGGACTTTTTTGCGTCAACCCCCCCCCCCGAGTTCTACTGCAAGGGCATCGAACAGCTGGATACACGTTGGCAGAAGGTGCTGGATGCCGATGGCGATTACTTCGAAGACTAGATATAAGTTACACATACTGTGAAGGGTTTACTTTTATTCCTTTAAAAACGGACAGAACTTTTTGGTTACCTTCTATAAATAGCCGAGAAAAAAAAACAGCACTCGCGGCCTGACTTTTGCATCTGGCATGAAACAGACTGTCGCCTCTAAGTGTTGACTTCTATGTTCACTTTTATATTTACACACGCTCTGTCTCTGATATTGAGCACTTTATCCCATAAATGTAGCACACCTATATTTCTTCATATATATATATATATATATATATATATATATATATATATATATATATTTTTTATAAAGGTATTATAAAATAATTAAATTTTATATATATATATATATATATATATATATATATATATATAGTATGAATATTGGTGAACAGAAGAACAAAAGTAAATAAATTTTAGATAGATAGATAGATATAATCGATATAAGTAAAAGGTTTGTCATTTGGCGCTAATTGATGTTACTTTCATTATCCTGACACCAGAGTTTGGTAGACGGACACAGCGGAAATTACTCTGTCCACTCGTCAGGAGGAATCAGCAATTGACTGTTTATACTTCTCTATTTTTCTTTTTTATGTGCACTTTTCATATATATATATATATATATATGTGTGTGTGTGTGTGTGTGTGTGTTATTTTTATATTTTTATAACGGAATTATTATTATTAAATTAAACATATATATATATATATATATATATATATATATAGAAAGGAGAGAGAGATTTAGGATTCGTTTCTTTCTTTCTAATGAAGTTTTTTTCTGATTCTTAATACATTGCTTAGCTTTTGGAAGACGTCTTTCGCTATTCCAATGTGCCTTCATGTAATTCTTTCGACGGAATTTATTCTCACTTTTATCCGTCTTCATGGAATCAAGCCCTACGTTCGACGGCTCCATACATAGGGTTATCATTCATAGTAGACATAATTTTATATTTGATCATAGATTTCCTGCGATGCATATTGTTCCAGACGTAGTAATTTAATAACACAGCAATATTCAATTTCTAATTTTAATTTCCAACGATCGTCGTTCATTACTTCAAATTTTTTTGCTTCGAAAATATAAATCACAACCATAAAAATACAGAGAACAATGAGAATTTTCAAAATTGGTGAAAGCAGAATATATAAGCCATATGTTGTAATAAGGCAATCAAATAAAACAATAATTTGGCATTGCTGTAAAAGCGATCATATTCAGACACATTTTTTTTTCGAACAACCGCTCGGAGATATATGTAATCAGATTACCATAGATAACACTGAAAACAGTCAGTGATATAGATATGATCAAGATATAGATAAAAAAAAGAGATATTAATACATATCTACCAAGATATACACTTCATTCTGAACAAATTAGATATGAGCAGAATAAGAGAATGCGAATATCGAAAAACAAGCAGATAGAGAGAAAAAAAAGATAGATAGATAGATAGATAGATAGATAGATAGATAGATAGATAGATAGATAGATATGAACAGACTGAGATAGATAGATAGATAGATAGAGATAGATATAGATAGATAGATAGATAGATAGATATGAACAGACTGAGATAGATAGATAGATAGATATGAACAGACTGAGATAGATAGATAGATAGATAGATAGATAGATAGATAGATAGATATGAACAGACTGAGATAGATAGATAGATAGATAGATAGATAGATAGATAGATAGATAGATAGATAGATAGATGAATAGATATGAACAGACTGAGATAGATAGATAGATAGATAGATAGATGATATGGATGGATGGATATGAACAGACTGAGATAGATGGATAGATAGATAGATAGATGGATAGATAGATAGATAGATGGATGGATATGAACAGACTGAGATAGATAGATAGATAGATAGATAGATAGATAGATGAATATGAACAGACTGAGATAGATGGATGAATGTGAACAGACTGAGATAGATAGATAGATAGATAGATAGATAGATAGATATGAACAGACTGAGATAGATAGATAGATAGATAGATAGATAGATAGATAGATAGATAGATGTGAATATGCAGAGATATATAGATATAAAAAATGAATTAGAAAAATAGATATTAGTTAACTGGCATAGATAGATAGATAGATAGATAGATAGATAGATAGATAGATAGATAATGAACAGAGTGAAACAGATAGATAGATAGATAGATAGATAGATAGATAGATAGATAGATAGATTGTATATATCTATCTACCTATCTCTTTCACCCTGAGATAGATAGATAGATAGATAGATAGATAGATAGATAGATAGATAGATAGATAGATAGATAGGAAAACGTAAATGAAAACAGGCCAAGGTGGATATATACATGTTTAGCTTAGAATCGAAATATATCAAATATCGAGAGAACTAATATTTATTCCAATTCGCATGCAACTTAATAGTGATGCAGTTTCAACGACTATAATATTAATGATAGTGTAGATAAACCTCCTAAAAAATGCTGGAATTATTGAAAAAATAGCTAGAGCACTATTTGCAGTTTCGCCCTAACGATACGAATATGCATTTGTAGTGTAAACAGACTGACTAGTGGTGTAGAAATAACAACTAGACCACTATTAGT